GGAAGATGTAGGATTTGTGTCAGCCTTTGACACAGGAATGCTCCAGGCCAGTGGAAGTTGCAAAAAGCAAAGAATGAAGATGGCAAGAAATGTAAGAGTTTAGTCTTATTTGGCGGTTTATGTTGGAGACCTCATAAGAAGGCTGGAGGGCCTTTTGGCCTCACTTGGAGACAGGACCTATGATTGACTTTCTCTCCAAAGAAGACTAAATGCAGACACAGAGTTAGCCCTTGTTTTAAATAGCTTTTTTATTTGCTGTGGCTAAAGGATTGACTAGAACAATTGAGAGAAGGAAAGGTTTATTTGAGGGCTCACGGTTTCAGAGGTCTTAATCCATGGAAGGTTGGCTCCATTCCTCGGGGCTGGAGGTGAGGCTGAACATCATGCCCGCACGTGAGGGTGACAGTGGGAAACAGCTTACATCACAGTGATCAGAAAGCAAAGAGAGAGAGCGATTCTACTCTACAGATACAAATATATACCCCAAGTGAGGCCCCAGTTCCCACCTCCTGCAGCTGCACCCTACCACTTCAGTTACCACTTCAGGAGATTAAATCATTGATTGGGTTAAGACTCTTATAACCCAATCATGTCTCCTCTGAACCTTCTTGTCTCACACATGAGCATTTGGGAGACACCTTCCATCCAAACCATAAGACCCCTTGAGTTTCAAATATAAGACAGCATCACACACTTCCTCCAGTCGACTTTCCGGACCTCTTGGTGTGATTCTGTGAATTCATATACTTCACTCTTGCAATTATTTTGTGGGTAGCATAATTACTTAGAATTGTGTGTCTGTATTAGATACAAACTTTCAAAATACACCATGGTTTTCATAACCTGTTTCCACATTTATTTAATTTGTATTGAATTGTACCAGAAGTCCCCACACAAGAGAAATGGGCCCAAATGGTTCTGGACCTACAGGAGCGGGTTATGATTTGGGACTTGGTCTTGAGAACAGTGGGTCTTTTAAATTTGATACCTTTCAAAGACATAAGAATTCACACATCAGAAAATGCTCCTTCAGACAGTGTATTCCTGTTTTGGTTTGGACAGTAAGATCACACTAAACTAAATTACATTAATTATCAAACTTGCCAGGTAATGGAATTCAGAAAGTCATGATGCTATTCACAGAATGCTGTAACATACTGCTATATCACACTTAGCTAAGTGTAGAATATTTGTTTTTATATTTATACTTTTAGTTGTAGTTACTGTATCACACTTAGCTAAGTGTAGAATATTTATTTTTATATTTTTAGTTATAGTTGGACACAATACCTTTATTTTATTTATTTTTATGTGGTGCTGAGGATTGAACCCAGGGCCTACATGTGCCAGGCAAGAGCTGTACCACAGAACCATGTCCTCAGCCCTATTTTTTTAAACTCTATTTTTCCATGTCTTCACACCACTAAAGGGTAACTGATTCCGTATGTTTAATATTTTTATTTTGACAAAATGTAATTCATTGTCCTAATTTTTATCACACATTAAAGTGAGACTTTAATGTTTTTTCATAGTAATCTAATTCAGATCAAAGAAGTCTGAAAAGGCTTGATTTACACTGCTAAAGGAGAGTTCAGAAAGAACTCTCATCAGAGTATGTGACAATAGATGAACTCAGATAAAGACAAAATTGTATTTTGGACTGAATTTAGTTGAGTTATGAAAGGAGAGGGCATTCATTGGCAGATTTAGAAAGATTTTCAACAAGAGCTAGGAGGAAAATAAGGGAAAAGAAATTTCTGTTTAGCTTAAAATTAACCAGAGAAACATTAGTAAGTAGTACCAAATGCATTTTTGTGATCATTCTATACACTAGTTTTTTTTTTTTTTCTGTGATTTTATTCTGGTAGTACCCGTGAACCCGAACTGTGTGACAGAAGCAATCTGGTTGAAAATTGTGCTGAAAAGAAGTCTGCTGAATCCTAGAAAACATTTCCTTGTGGTTGATAGTACTTCAGCATTCTGTTCCAAAACTGAAGATCCAGTCAGGATCTTGCATAGCCTTGTACTCCCAGATTTAGAAACCCATGTGGGACCTGGTACAGTGACACACGCCTATAATCCCAGGGACTCAGGAGGCTAAGGCAGGAGGATTTCGAGTTCAAAGCCAGCCTCAGCAGCAGGGAGGTGCTAAGCAACTCAGTGAGACCCTATCTCTAAAAAAAAAGTAGTGCAGGGGATGTGGCTCAGTGGTTGAGGGCCCCTGAGTTCAATCTCTGGTAACCCTGCCAACCATTGCCGCAAAAAAATAAAAAAGAAAACTATGTGGTAGACTAGACTATAAATACATCTTGGAAATTATACAGACTTGTATTTGTAGCCTTTATGTTGAATGACACTGCTACAAGGAGTACTTGTGGAGCCAAAATGAATGTGGAAAGAAAAATAAAGCTGGCAGGATCATTTTGGCCTCCACAAATCTCCATTCATTTAATTTAATATTTTCTTTAATTTGTAAATATGAAAGACTTTCAAATTAGGCAATTGCTGCTTATTTTGTTGGGTTACCCTCAACAAACTGCTCTTCAGATTTTTTTTTCCTGATTACATTGCTGTTTTATTTGGTTTTACAGAAGCTGGCTTCCAAGACTGTGTAAGAGTGTGAGATGTCAACCTTCACAGTCATTGGAAAGTAATGTTTTTGGTTTCATCTTTGACTTAATTACATTAATTTCAAATAAAAAGAACCTACAATAAAATTTATTGTGCTAACATCCCTGTTTGTAAAACTTTTTATATTCTATTATATCTATTTCCAAGAAGGCATCATTACTAGATAGATGCTTCCAAAATTACAAGTTGGACTTTGAGGGGCATATTTTCCTATGCCAACCTTTCTAGGAGTAGTTCTCCTGTGAAGCTTTTTTTTTTTTTTTTTTAAAGCGGTTCAGCAGGAATCGTGATATATTCTTGTTTGGATATTAAATTTGCAAAAA